ATGTGAGAATCTAGTGCTTTTAACCACCATGCCCCCTGCCGGTCCCTTATTTATTTTTTTAAGAATTATTTTATTTTAATTAATTAATTTATTTAAATTTGACCAGAGAGGGACAGAGAGAGTGAGAGAGAGAAAAAATGAGAAAGCAAGACTTGAACCATGGTTGGCCATGTGGGAGTCCAGTGCCCTTAACTACCACATCACTTGCTAGCCCCTCTATATTTTTATTTTAATTCTCTCTTTTGTCTCATGTCCTCTTGGCTTAACAACCTGTGAAGAAGGAGGCTCTTTTCTATCAGTACCACTTAGAAAATTCCCATGGACTGGGACTAGCAGATGGCAGAATGGTTACATCATTGAACTCCCACATAGTCCACCGTGGTTTGAGTCCTGAACCCAGCAGCAGCTTAAAACTCATGCTGGGTGCATGTGCATGTATGCCCAAAATCTTGAGAGGAGAATGGAGGAAAAGGGATTGTGGTGTGGCCATTCCCCCCGGGAGGGGGGGCATTTCTCACTTTCTGTCTCTGTCTCTCTCTGTCTCTCCAGTGAGCACATGTGCCCTATACCAAGAAAGCTAAAAAAAAAAAAAAAATTCCCTGGGAAGGACTCTGGTTGGCAAGCTGTATATTCTGGTTAAGGATGAGAGGCACAATCAGTTACTAGAAGAGGCGGAGTGTAAAGGCCGGGCAACTGGAATGTTAACCAAGGAGCTACCCTGACTGGTGTCTAGCACACCTGTGGTGACACGTGACCTTCCCACTGCACAGTCAATCTCCAGCACGCGTTTGATACCCGAGTGCCTGTCAGTGGGCGTAGGACAATTGATGCTCTTGTGAAAAATAGAAAAGTTCAACTTTCTAGTATTTCATGTGTGGGTTTGCAATAAATAGAGCAATATTTACAATACTTTTTAAAAAATCATTTTACTTAACTTTATTTATTGACTTATTTTTTAATTTGACCAGAGAGGGACAGAGAGAACGAGGAAGAGAGAGAGAGAGAAAGTGAGAGATCAAGCCGCCAAGTCTGGGATTTGAACTGCAGTCGGCCATGTGAGCCCAGCACCCTTAACCACCACACCACCCTTAACCACCGGCTTCTATAATACTTTTTTTTTTTTTTTTTAATGAGGAAGATGTCAAGAAATATTTGTTGGTGACTGAAGGGTCCTTGTGGCTCAGCTGCATCTTAGCACATGAACTTGTTTCAAACAAATGTCAACCGAGATGGATTGTTCATGGGTCTCAGTCTGTCCAGTGTCTGTATCCAGGCCACCTTGATGAGAAGTTCCCAATATGCAGTAAGGACATGCATGGTAAGGAATACTCATTTAGGAAGGCTGTGTTGAGACACGTAGAGGAAAGCCCCATGTCTTCCATCCTAGATTTGGAGTTGCGCTGAGTGTTGCTTGAGGAGGTGAACTTTGCTTGTTCTCATTTATTCCACACTATTTATTGGGTGTCCACTTCATGTTAGAACACTATTCTTAGGGCTTGGGTACAGACAAAAATACCTGCCCCACTGGAATTAACCTTCTAGTGGGCTGGAGACCGAGAATAAACCATAAATCTAACACAGGGGTAAATGATCTAATATGTTATGATATTCTGGAACAGGTGCTGCGGAAAAATTAAAGATGGTCAGGAGAAGGAACGTCAGGGAGGGTGCGGTTGGAATTTCAGCTGGAAGATGTTATTTGAACAAGGACTTGAGGGTGTAGATAGCTGGAGGAAGAGTGTATCGGGCAGTTACAGCCATGCAAAGGGCTTGAGGCAGGAGTAGGCTGTGATGGCCAGCAACAAGACCACTGTAACTTGAGCACAGCGAGGAAGGGGACAGTTGTAGAAGAGGTCAGGAAGCCAGATGATTATCTTGGGGGAAGGAGGTTTTGCAGAGAGTCATGACATGATTTTACATCTATATCTATCTATATCTATATATGTCTATCTCTATCTCTCTATCTCTATATCTTTTTCCCCCAGAGGTTTTTGCCTTAGGATGTGTACACTCACCAGAGAGAGAGTGAGACAGGAAGAGAGAGATCACCTTCCCCACCGCCCTGGGGAATGGCCATGCCACAACCCCTTCTTTTCCATTCTCTTCCCAGGACCATGGGCATGCATGACATGCACCTGGTGTGATTTTTCTAGCCACTGGGCCCCGGACTTGAACCATAGTCAACTACTTGGGAGTCCAGTGACATCACCATTATGCCATCTGCTGGTTCGAATCTTACTTAGATTTTACAAGGACAGCTCTGACCACTGTGAGAGGAGCTGGGGCCAAGGTAATTCAGTAATTGCAATGATAATTGCAACGGTCTTGCAGGGAGATGATGGTGACTCAGACTGGAGTGGGAGCAGGCTAGGTGTGGGAGATGGGAAATTCTGGGCATTTGTGAAGGTAGAGGTGACGGTATTTCCTGGTTTGGGGCATAAACACTTTACGGCTGGGGTTGGGTGTGTTTGGGTGGTGGGATTATGGCTGAATTAAAAAATTATCTTATTACTGAAGCCAGGTATTGGAAACAGAGTCTCCGGATTCCCATCTCTGTTCTCCAAGATACTAACCAGACATGGGAGTGTGTTCTATAGTCGCAAATACAACACTCAGCTCAAGTAATTCCCTTAATATCGACTTAGTGGACAGCTTCCTAGATTGTGCGTAATTTCCTTTTAAAAGAAGAGCGGGCTTGGTGGTACATGACTGTAATCCCAACTACCAGGGAGGTCGACGCAGCAGGATTGCAAATTCGAGGCTAATCTGGATGAGGTAACAAGACCCTATCTTAAATAAATAAATAAGCAACAATGTTATTTATTTATTTTTTTGGAAGAGGTTTTTGCTATAGGGCACGTGCACTCTCCAGCCAGACAGAGAGAGACAGAGACAGAAAGTGAGAAATCACCCCCCAGGGGGGATGACCACGCCATAATCCCTTCTCCATTCTCTTCTCGGGATCTTGGGCACACATGCACACGCACTCGGTGTGAGTTTAAGCCGCCGGGTCTGGGACTTGAACTGTGGTCGGCTACGTGGGAGTCTAGCGACATAGCCATTATGCCAACTGCTGGTCCCCCATTAGGATGTTTTTTAAATAAATAAAAGTTGGGAAGAACAAAAATGCCTTATTTAGGAAGATATGTTAGTATTTAAGTTATAAAAAACTAAGAAACATTATGTGTTAAGTTATTAAGAGTCTGTGGAAGGGTGGTTAATGAATTGTAGGAGTGGAGAGGGGCTATATACACACACGCACAACACACGCACACACATGTATATTTTTGCTATAGGGTGTGTGTGCTCTCCAGAGAGATATAGTCAGAAAGCGAGAAATCAC